CTCCTTGAGACCGTCGACGAAGAGTATGAACAGTAAACTGGCAATCACAGTGCCCTGGGGGCATCCGGTGCGAACATCCTGAGGCCGGGAGAGAGCACTTCGTATCTTTACCCTGAACGTCCTGCGTCTCAGGAAGTCGGAGATCCAGCTTAGCACTTTGCCACTAACTCCTTTGCTGTGGAGGACGGCGACTAGCAAGTCTTGGGGCATTGTTTCAAACGCGCTTTTGAAGTCGAAATATACGACGTCAACCGGTGTTTTCGCGTTGGTCCATTGGGCTACATCATTGAAGAACCTCAGTAAGCAGTCGACTGTGTTTCTTCCTTTCCTGTATGCAAACTGATTTGGGGCGATTAGATTCTGTTTTTCAGCGTTCTTGAGTATAGCGTCGGCTATCATTCTTTCTAGTACTTTACAGGACACTGCAGTCAGGGAGACGGGACGTCTGTTGTTGACATCATTTTTCTTGCCTGGTTTGGGCACGGGCGCAACTAGAGCTGTTCTGTACATTTCCGGAATCTTCCCTTCATCCAGAGATTTCCTGAATATGATGCTCAGTGGCTTCGCCATTCCGATTGCAGTTCTTTTGAGGAAAACAGCGGGGATTCCTTCAGGGGACGTACTTCTCTTTGGTTCCAGTTTCTTCAGTTGATGGTACACAGCGAATTCTGTAACGTCGATGTCATCGACGCATTCATTTTCGGTATTCGTGGGGATGGCCGATAGACCCGTTCGTTCTTGGTGTAGAAGATACGTTTTCGCGAAATGTTCCCTTAGGATTTCGCATTTGTCTGCGTCATCCGTTATTTTCCTTCCGTCGTCGAGCACCAGAACCGCAAGGTCGTCTTTGCATTTCAGCCTCCTGGCTGCATAACCGTAGAATCGGGCACTGTCGTTCGAGTCCGCGATCTGATGCTCCAGCAGACATCTTTGCCTCGCTGTGGTCTTTTCGAGTTTTTTCCTGATTTCCGTGATTTCTTGATCGTCGTGGGTTTCCTCAAGGCGTTCCATCAGCCTTTTCACGCAGGCCGATATCCGGCCGTTCCTGGTTAGCGATCGATGGGGCACGTATAGATCTGTCAGTATGTCAATACATTTCTTCCATCTGTCGTACATCATGTTTACGGGCATCTCCTGTCGAAGCTCTTCGTGCCAGTCCACGTTCAGGAGATTCTCGGTTATCTCCTCATAGTTTGCTCGATCGAAGTCGAGGCAGTCATCGATAGGATCTTCTTGTTCATGAGTTACAAGGTGGAAGAGTATACCTCTATGATCTGATTCAATGGGTCCGTTGCATAGAGTCACGTCTCGAGTGGGGACCGATTCTTCATTACATAATATCAGATCGGTTATCTTCCCGCTGGACGGCCTGGTGAACTCCCTAACCTGTTGCTCTAAGTTGTTGAGTATACAGAATTCATATAGTTCCCTCTCTCGGTTTGAGCACTGTGGGCTCATTTCCATATCTTCCCAATCGATATTTGGGCAGTTTAGATCTCCAGTAATTATTACTCGAGCACCTGTATCACATAGATTATCAAGTACGTCAGTGATCCTTTGCATTAGCATCAGGTCTCGTTCACTTCCCTCGGTTCCGGGACTGTACACATTAATAATTCGCATTTCTACTGAGTCCCCGTTGAGTACATCAATGCACACAATTTCGTTCACATTTTCAATCTCATTTTGGCTATCTTCTTCTATTTCCACTCGAACGCATTTAGTTGGTTTCCTCACCAGTATCAATACACCTCCTCCGCGTCGTCCTCTGTCTCTCCTGAAGACCGAGTACTTTCCGGTGTGGGACAGCTCCGCGTCGTTAAAGTTTCCATTTAGCCATGTCTCTACAATGCATATCACATCGAGTTTGTGCGTTTCCGCGTACACATGTAGTTGGTCTATGGCACCTTTTTTACAGAGTGATCGGACATTCATGAAGAAGCACTTTAGAGAGGCCGGTATAGCCTCTGCTTTGCGGCTCTCTGTTGTCTTCTTGCTTCTGGTTTGTCATTGAGAGTTTTCCAGCGAGTCTTCGACCTGATGCCGTCTCGGGAAACCCACATATTCCCTGAAGAGAACGTTTTCGTCCCAAGATGCTGGGTGCGAGGCCTTCTCGAAGTCGCATTCTTTTATCAGCAAACACCATGTCGAGGATCGCTTCGACTCAGACTTCAATTTGAACACGGCGATCACCGATACGTTCAGTGATCGCATGTGTTCGTTCATATCCTTACAGGACACATCTGGTCTTATGTTCCGTACGTAGAGTTGTCGATGAGCAGGCCTCTTTGATACACCAAGACCTTTTTCTTCGCCACCAGCCCCTTTGATGAGTTTTCTAGGGACGAACCTTCCATCACTAAGCGCCGGAAGATTAGCCGTTCGATTGGTTCGATTTTGCGGCATCTCCGGCTGCTGTTTGTCTTGTTTGTTTCTCGCTATGTTGTGCGGCTGTTGTTTGTGATCTTTGCCGTTCAGTCCTGTATGGGCGATGGGATTTTCGCGCGCTCTTGGTCGGCTTCTCGAACGCTCGATGTCGTCAGGGGTGATTCCCACGGAGCTCGAGCGGCTCGAAGGAAAAGCTTTCCGCGTCTCAATCCTGCCTCTTTCCGAGCTTCGAGCGCCGACGTTTTCATGCTCGCCAGTAGCTTGCTTCAGCGCCTTGCGTAGGTCCGTGATCTCGGCTTGTTGGGCCTCGACGCGGTCGTATAGGCATAGCGTGATATTTGTGAGCTGTATGAGTCTCACAAAGACGTTCTTGGTGGTGGGAGCCTTCGTTTCCACGGTTCTGCACTTCTTGCATAAACCTATCTCACCAGGTTCCACATAACACTTTTGATGGACGAAATTTGAGCATAGTCCAACACAGGCGAGCAATGCATTTGCTGCAGAGCTCTTCTTCTTGCACACATCGCACTTGATTTCCTCCATTTTTCAAGATTTCCGATGCTTCCAGGTGTCCGCTGAACACTTTCTGCTTATCACGGCGTGATTGAGGGATGGATCACTGTCGGATTATTAGAAAATTTCACTTTTTGAGGGATGGTCGAAAATGACACCTTCCTCGTTGGCAGTAGCAGACGAGGTAGGACCGGGACGAGCTTCGCGCGCGCTCGATACAAGGTGGCTCTCGCCCGGTCATACGAGGGCAGGGAGGCTCCTAGCTCCTCGTCTTCGTAGGGTTCTTGGAGGTTGCGCACCAGTCCCGCGAGGGTCTCCGAATAGACGCGTTTCACTCCTCTTTCGTCCTGTTCCAGAACCGCATCCTTCATCTCAGCGGCGGCCAGACGTTTTATGAGTTCTCCGTTGTCGGGCGGGTGCGTGTGAGCACCAGTCTGCTTCGTGAGAGTCAGCGTCGGCGATCTCGATACGACTATTCTCGCCAGGCAGCCTTCCCTTCTCTTTTTGATGCATCTACAGTAAGAAGTGTCGCCGCCCACAGTTTTCTCCACTTCGTAGATGTAGCTTTCCACGAAAAACTGGGCTTTACCCTTTGCCGAACGAAGTTCTTGGATATCCATGTCAGCAAGGGAAGGGCGAGAAAACTTCGTTTCGAGAGAAGCAACGAGGCAGAACGAGACACAACTTCCGAACGGAGACTCAACTAGGAACTAGCAGGAAGCGAAATCCGACAACAACAGAGGAAATGCTGACTATCTGCTTAGGGGACGTGCCGTCACGTATTACGTATGAACAGCGAGCCTCTCGACTGATATCATAGGAAGTAAATGTATTCGAGACTATCCCGGAAACGGATACCAATCGGCTACTCCTGCTCGGGATAATCCATACCGGTGGCTCACCGGGGCTGAAGCCAATTGCTGGAAGATAATATAATACATACAGAACACAAAACTCGAGAGCAAGATTTTATTGCTTCTGAAGCACATCTCCGAACTCCGAACGCACAGTTTCCAAACACCACCACAGCTTTGGAACAAAACACGGCCGTGTCGATAAGTCCCACTCGACGTACGTTCGTATATGAATGTCTCCTCTGAGGTCCCAGATAAGCACCACTGCGACAAATCGCACAAGGGCCATTCAAGCTTCACCGATTGGCGGTCTCTACTCCAGAGAAAATTGACCTAGTAAAGAGTCGAGTGTGGGTTCACCCCGGTTGGCAGGATTCTAGCTTTAACAAATTCGGGTTCCCACAGATACTGGCTCCCAAGAATTCGGGCTTTCACAATTCGGGCTCCCACAAATTCGGGCTTCCCCAAATTCGGGCTCCCAAAATTCGGGCTCCCATAATTCGGGCTTTCACAAATTCGGGCTTTCACAGATTCGGGCTTTCACAACTCTGGCTTTCGCCATTCTGGCTTTCACAATTCTGGCTTCCGCGATTCTGGCTTCTGAGATGGTACCACGAGATCGATCGAGGTTGCGAAGGCCTGACAGATATGAAGCGCACCTGTCAATCCAAGACAAGGAAAACGTGAGCACCTGTGTAGTTAAAATGGTTGACGAACCAAATAACTTAGATGAAGTATATAAGTCAGTGCACTGCCAGCAGTGGTTGAATGCCATGGCTGAAGAGATAGCTTCAATGGAGCACCATAAGGTATGGGAGCTTGTGGACTTACCGAGAGGCAAGCGAGCGGTAGGTGACCGATGGATATTCAAGGTTAAGAAAGATGCACATGGTAACGTAGAGAGATTTCGCGCGAGATTGGTAGTGAAGGGCTACGATCAACGTCCCGGTCGTGATTTCGGTGAAACCTTCTCGCCGGTTGCACGTTTTGATGAGATCAAGACCCTACAGGCTATTGCAGCCAAAGAGTCTCTAGCACTATATCAGTTTGACGTCAAGACAGCATTCTTGAATTCGGAGCTTAATGAGGAAGTCTATACGACTAAGCCTGAAGGATTCTCTGACAACTCGGGAAGAGTTTGTAAGCTATTGAAAGCGGTATATGGATTGAAGCAATCGTCCAGAGCCAGGAATCAGGAGATCACGAAGCGACTCGTGGGCATGGGGATGACTCAGAGCAAAGCAGATCCCTGTGTCTACTATACGGAAGGAAAAACGAGACTGATCGTGGCTCTGTACGTGGACGATGGCCTAACCATGGGCCGAGATCTGGCGACCGTGCAGGAATCTTTGGAAAAGTTGGGCAGACAATTGGAAATCACGTCAAAGCCACTAATCCACTTCCTGGGAATGCACGTCGAGATCTCTGACGATCGTTCTGAAATCAAAATTCACAAATCGAACTACATTTCTGAACTTTTGGAACGATTCCAAGTGAAGAACAGCAAAGAAACTGCTACTCCCATCGATAATAATTCGAAATCGGCTTATGATGACGAAATTGATCCGAGTCTACCATACCGAGAGATTATCGGAGCGTTGCTTTATCTGACAATAGCAACCAGGTACGACATCGCATATGCGGTAGGATTTCTGTCGAGGTTCCTCGACAAACCTACAAGACCATTGTGGAATGCGGCCATAAGAGTACTCAGGTATTTAAAAGGTACCAAGTCATTTGGACTGAGTTACTCAATTGGCGGATCTGGAGAACTCGAGTGTTTTAGTGATGCAGACTTCGCGGGCGACGAGCAGACGCGCCGATGGGATCGTGGATCGTAGCCCCAAATATTTACAAGTCAATGAGCAAGTGGCCGCAGTCCTCGATCTGTTCAATAAACGAATGAACGCATTCTGGAGCATGTTGACGAAAGCGGGCGGTCAGAAAGGTCGTAATAAATTGACCGCATGATAAGATGGCGGCGGGTCCGTGGCTGCTCAATCAGCGGAAAGACACCACAGCGACTCAAGCGTGGGAGAGAGCCCTGCGATTCCCGCTGTTCCCCGAAGAGGGACCCCCGAACGCATTCTCCTGCCTGTCTCCCTTATCCAAACAAGGATGTCGCTATCCGCGGATGGAATGAATGAGATTTGTTCGCCGAGATCTCACAGCCAGAGGAAAATGAGTCGGGAGCAGGGCGAAGAGAGCCCTTGAAGGCTTCCGGGTCTCGACCGGGAGAGGAGGTGCGATAATTCAACAATTACCCCTTGGTCACAGGTCCTGATCCTGAGAGGAATCAGTTTCCACCCTTTTCGCTCTAAGGAATCTAGACAAGGAAATGCTCTCTCCCTATATCCAGGACTCAGGGACAGAACCTCTTCGGGATATAAGAAGAGAAATCCCTTCCTTGTTGGCATGCACGTACGAATACACATGTGGCACATGTATGTACACATTCAAGAGACATACCTCTGATGCTGCGCAGTTCACCCGGCAGCTTCGCCTCATATTTGAATTTCAAGACCGAATCTCCAGCCTCCAGTAGGCCTAACGTGAGACCGAGAAGCGGTCTGGCTGAACAATTTGGTGCGGCACAGGTTTTTCGCGTGGTAGCAATTCCAGGCAGCTGCCAGGTTCGAGAGGACTTTCACCAGCGGGGATCGCAAATGCCGGTAAGACGTTGAGGTCCTCTGTAGCACTCCGATTTATTCAGGCTGTATGCGGGCATTAATCGCGGGGTGTCCTGCAGAGGCGCGCACAGGGGTGGGGGGCAGGGGCGCGGACAGAATTTTTTTTTTGGGAATGCCAAACCGATTTCCAGACATGGCCCACTTGCCCCCACCCCCCTGGGTACGCTGCTGGTGGCGGCTCGGGGGGAATGCTCGGACAAAGACGATTTCCATTGAAGACCCGCTTGCAGCGCGCATCCGGGTGGCGCATCTCCAGAAGGAGTCAACACGTCGGGATCAAAACAAGGTGAGCAAGCACTCTCGGCCGTGACATATTTTTACAATTAGGTAGCCGAGTGAGACGGGGGTAATTCCCCGATGTCGCGATTCGAGGATTCGGGTTCGAATGAGCGGTCGGGTCGATTCAATTCCTTGCAACGCGCTTCGACCATGAGCTCTGGATATCAGGAGCGCGGCGGGATGGAGAAGGGGGGAGCTAAGGGCATTCTCCCGTTTCGCTGTCGCCCGAACCGTATCCTCCGCGGTAGAATCCTCAAGGCTTTTCTTGTATGCCAAACATTCCTTATCACCGGACTTCGTTTTCCGGCGGGGAATGAGATCGGAGAGTTTATTCCGTGTGAGTCAAAGAGCAATGAGCATCTCGAGGGAATTTGTTGAAGCGCGAGGACTCCGTTTCGGTAGGTCAGATCCCTGGACTGACCCGGGCGGTCATTTCAAGGTCGAAGGCGTGAAAGATTCCCATGGTCGTGCTCCTTTCTTCTTCCATGTTAAATGCTCCTCTCGCGATGGGAAAATCATCTCATTGGTATGCAAATCGTATCGGAAGAACGGCTGTCCTGTGGTTGCGAGAGTAAGGGAGAGTGGTGAAGTTGTTCAACTCCGCGGCATACACAACCACGTCCCCGACTCGGGGGGATACGGCATGGAAGTGCGAAATGCCCGCAGTCAGTGGATTAAAGATGTCCGAGGAAATCCACGTGAGACCCCTTCCACCGTAATCATGGAACAGCGGCGTAAGCTGCCTCGGGAAGCCGCTTCCCAAATCGTTCCGGTCGAGCACGACCGCACATGCCGCTTCCATGCAAGCCAGATGAGACCTCCAAGACCCGATAGTCTCTCTGAACAATTCGAGGAGATGACGACAAAGAGCTACCCCAAGTTCAACGTCTTGCTAGACGGTGAAAAGCTGGTTGTCTTTTTCAACCAGAGAAAAAGAGGAGCACAACACCCTCCTAGTGACTACCGGATCTCTGCTCGGACTGCTCAGCAGCGCTAGATTGATCCATGCGGATGCGACTTATAAGATCTGTCCGAAGCATTTATGCAAACAACTTTTCACGATCCACGGGAATCGGAGTGGTCACGTCGTAATGGTCGCGTGCGCATTCATGAATAAGTCGGACAGTGAAGCCTACGGCTGGATTTTTAGGCAGTTGAAATTGGCAGCACCTGGACTCACCGTAGCGGCCTACATGGGCGACTGGGACGGCGCTATGAGCAAGGCAGTCCGGTCCAAATTCGACGACGTTGACCTTTATGGGTGTCATTTTCATTTCGCCCAGAGTCTAGTAAGAAGGGCTCGGGGAAAGTGGTGCGCCGGCCTCGGGAACGGAATCCGAAAACCAGGTGAGGTTCTCTCGATCTTCCTGGGGTTCTCGGTCCTGCCGTTGCTGCCGCCCGAGATGATTCTTCCGACATTCGGGACCCTTGCTGCTCGAGCCAGGACCGTACACGTCGGCTTTCCCGGCTTTCTCGACTACATCGAGTCTCACTGGCTGCAGAGAATCGGTCCCGAAGACCTCTCCGTTTTCGGCCTGCGTCAACGTACGAACGATGACGTCGAGTCGAACAATGGTAAACTGCTCAGGAAAGTGGGCCCTCACGGACCAGTATGGTCGCTTATCGCGACCATAGCCGAATGCGCTCAGGACGTGATGGTAGACAAGATTATCCACTCCCGGGGGGTAGAGCACATTCTATCGAGACCACGCAAGGCCACAAAATTCAACAAGCTCAGGGTCAAGCTGTCGTGGGAGCTGTTGACGCGGGGAGAGATTTCTGCGGTCGAATTCATCGAGCGGGTCAAGTACAAAGTGGGCAAGAGAAACCATTTACTCTGTCTCAAAGGTCACATCGACACGGTAGATCCTATGCTTCAGACCTGGTTGAGACAGCAAAGTACCATATTTCCCGATGAGGACTTGGGCATCGACGGGAGAGCTCACGACGAAGATGACGTTTTTCTATCCGAGAACTCCTTTTCCGACTTTTCAGACCAGGGTTCTGAACAAGAGGAATAGATGTTACTCAGGGCTACTCGGAAAAAACTCCTAGCATTTGCATTGACATTGATGACGACCACAATTATGCAAAGAAGCCGAATCGAGCCCAGCTTTCCCCGAATTTCTGTGCTTCCCCGGCTTTTGACTCAGTTAATGACGGAGAGGAAGGTAGAAAGGAGAACGTGCCCGACGAGGGAGTAAAAGTTTTTGGAGACGTGTCCATATCCAGATTGGGGGTGACGGCGAACAATTTGAATACCCTGGCCGGAACCAACTGGCTCAACGATAAAATTATAGACATCTATTTAAACCTCATCGTGAACCGAAACAGAGATTCCCCTCACTTACCCAAAGTATTCTCATTCAGCACCTTCTTCCTGGATTTCTACAAGCGACACGGGTATGACGAGGTGTCAAAATGGACGCGGAGAGACGACATTTTCGCTAAAGATATCTTCCTGGTTCCAGTATATACCAAAAGCCACTGGTGTATGGCAAGTATCGATTGGCGCACCAGAGTCATCAAGTACATGGATTCTCTTGGGGGCCAAAACGATGACTGTTTGAGCTTGTTGCGCACCTATTTGGCTCAGGAGATGGCGCACAAGAAGAATTGCGAACTCGACCTCAGTGAGTGGCATGTGGAATATGCCAACAACATCCCTCAGCAACGAAACAGTTTCGATTGCGGAGTTTTCGCGCTGAAATACGCGGACCACATTGCGCAAGACGCGAAGATCAACTTCAGTCAAGAAGACATGCCGGCTTTCAGGGAGAGTTTGATGCTTGAAATCCTGCAGTCATCGCTCATTCTATAGGACCAGGCTCCGGGATCGAAACAGTCAGCGGGCGATTACATCCTTTGTGGGGTTTCGAGCCTGGCCGATGGGCGAGCGAAAATACTAATAAATATCGAAGAGAAAAACACAAAAATTACCATCATTCTTCTAGCGTCCCAACCGCCGGGGATGGGAACCTCCCAAGGGCCAGCTGAGGTCCCAGGCAATCCCTGGTTTATCGTCTCCGGACTTGATCTTTCCTATCGTCTGCTTGCACTTGAGGATTCCTCCGGAGCTTCGCATTCCTCGGGAGCTCGATGAGTGCGAAATGCGAGGTTCGAGGGACCATGTTTGAGATTAATAGCCATTCGGAGCTTAGACCAGAGGCTCGACGCTTGACCATTCGATTCCCTGCCTCGCATTCGCGCATCAGCGCAACCGAAATGTGGTAGCGCGGAGTGGCCTGACGCGGACACAGACCTCGACGAGAGATGCGAAGTCAGCCTAGGCTCAGAGTCAGATTGTGACAGCCGCGTCAGGCTTACCGATTGTTCCAAATTCGTGAGTTTCAGACATGCGCGTCTTTGTACCAGCGTCCGTCGGAGCTTATGGTGTCAGTGCGTTACTTGCGAAGGCCTCTTGCCCAGGCGACTTCGGCAGCACGGACCGTCCCGTGGAATCATCAATTCAAGAGCCTTCGTGCAGGCGCTCAACTTTTAGGCTCGAGATCTTTAGTCCGCCGAGTTAGCGGGTCTCTTAATTCATAATACACGGCTCATCCGCGATCTCCCCAAACGCCCGCGCTCCCCGAGATGCCTCAGAAAGCGTTCATTCGCTCATCAATGTAAACAATTGAGGCCATTGCTCACCATCGACCTGTAAACATTTGGGGCTAGATGCCCGGGGACCCGAGATGCGATTATCCGCAACTGTGATCATATCAGTCTACTTTCCTGAGTGTTGAGACCACATCACAGGTGACGTCGTATTTGAGAATCGCAATCGCCTCACGAGTCGTCCACCTCGATGGGTTCCATGTCGCGTGAACGACACCCATTTCCAGGCTCTAATTTTCACCGTGGATTCAGTTGTTGAGAGTTCTTTCGAACCGATTCGCGCCCGCTTGGACGCCGAGGTTATTGACATACGAGGCTGTCGTAAGCCTGAATTGTGGCGTGCGTACTTTGCGAGTTTTGGCACCGTTGATGCTCCTAGCAACGAAGCCCCTGCTCCTCGTCGTCGTCGTCCTGCTTCTCCTCGTCCGGCGACTCCACCTCGTCCTTATTTCGAAGAGATGGACCCCGCCGTTCTTCTCGGCCAGGATAACGTAGACCTGACGGGAGAGCGGCGCCGCCGGAAAGAATGTCCCGTCGATTAACCATGTCTTATCATGCCTTTGTTCACCGATATTGTGACTACGTTCAAAAAACAGTATGTGATCTGACTCGGGACCGCTGTGTTGGGAAATAACCTCTGATCCTGTGAACAGGGCCATTTCCATTACTGCAGAGTTTTCCAGAAGTCGGTGTTTTGAGTTAATTACACTTGTTTACGTCATAATTGTACTCGAATATTGAATATGCAAGCCAGGAAACCCTGATCTAATCGATACAGAAAAATACTGAATAGTCTTTTTCTGGAGAACTCCTTCCGTTTTTCACTGTAAGGGTCTATGAAACCCGGACGGTATATAAGACACAGTGAAATAAACATCAGATACAGATTCTTTGATGTCACAATGTACAAATTCTTTCTTCTGTCACACGCAATCCTTGCGTCCTCATCCCTGAGAAGCACCTTCCCCACCAGCCCTCGACCCTCGGAGATCATCTGAACATTGTGCCGAAACAACTCTGAGCTCCGGACAGCGGACTCCTGCCGACTGAGCATCTGCTCTGTGAGCTAACGCTCACTAGGATCCTCGCGAATCCCGAACATTCGTTGTCAACACGAGTGAACTCTACAGGAAAACTCCAACCTCCGAGTTTGTCATCACCGAGGTGAGTCGAGAGGTCTGTAATACTCTCGAATGATGCAGCGCGACACCGCGATCACGCTGAACTTCGATGGAAGCGATACTCCGAAGATTCGCTTCAAGATCCGTGAGGCCGCTGCCGTGCTTTCCTCGAAAACGATCTGTTTTTTGGATGCAAAACCCCGAAATGCCGCCCCTAGAAGCTCCGTAGGATGTGCTGCCCGGGGCGGAATACGCTACAGCCCGGACTCCTCCAAGCGGAGAGCTACGCGTGGCAGGTGGTGAACGAAGAAATTCTTTTCTTTAACAGCATCCCTCTTTATTTAGACAATGTTTCGTGTCATACATCAATTTAACAATACATCAGTTCCACGAGGGCGAACCCTGTCCGTGGTATCGGGAGGACACGTGTTTGCGTTCGGGGGGATGGGGTTCCAGGGGAGAAACTTTCATTCCATCAAGGTTGATTCAAGGGAGCAGGGTTTTTATTTTATGAATGGTAATAGAGCTCAGGAAAGGTCTAATATTTATTTCTCTTCCTTTCTGAGATTCGGAAAAGATACCAGTTCCTGAGATTTTCAGGGAGAGAGTTATATACTGTGAGGTACTGCCATTTATAGATTCGCCTAGTTCTCTCGAGCCGGAAGGCAGGCAGGCGGACGCGTTTTGACTGCATGCCTCTGGTGGCGTGTTGGTGATTGACCGTGTTCTCATCTTCCAGCATGTTTGCTGGGTGGCTAAACATTTGAGCGCAGGTCAATTTGAGCGCAGCCGATTTGCGCGCAGCCGATTTGAGCGCAAGCCGATATGCGCGCAAGTCCGATATGAGCGCAAGTCAGATATGAATAGCATCAATGAATGACGTCAATTAATGAGTAACGAATGAACCTTATGAACCCATTCGCCAGTACATCATGAGATCCACGGGAGAAATCTCTTGTTCACGCGCCCACAGCTCAGTGGATATGAAGTTCGAAATGCTCGCCGACAAGTGTTTGTTCTGTGGCGCTGATCATCCTTCGGGATTCATGAAAGATGACAGTGCGTGTCTCGACGCAACGCCGCGATAATTTGCATCGATGCAGAGAAAGTAGCTCCACTGTGTCGATACAATTTCTTTCATTGACAACAGGGAAACCGTTGCTCTCGTATGACGGCCATCAGTTCCGCTGAGATCGAAAGACGTGGCGGTGTCTGAAAAAAGGATGCTCGAGTCGAGCCTCAATCGACGATGACAGAGTCACGGTGGGTGTGATAAATGTCCGAACAGTTCCATACATTCTCTGGAGATATTCCCCCGCGAAAGGTTTCCCCGGAGAACGAGCATGCGCCTGACTCGGTGGCTGTCGAAGTTCGAAAAAAAATGAATGATCTACGTGAGGCGACTCTCGAAGCCGCGAGTGAAATGAAATCGACGAAAACCTATTCTGACGTTCTACAAGTTTCAGAAGGAATATTTGTGGAAGGAATACCTATGTTCATTTGTTGTTCCTTGTCCGAACCTGTGGTTTTTTTGACCGACTTCCGAAACTCTACTCAATAAACATGTACGTGAGATGAATCATTCTTCGGTGTCATTCATGGATGTTATCCATATCGGACTTGCGCGCAAATCGGCTTGCGCTCAAATCGGCTGTGCGCAAATTGGCTCGCGCCCAAATCGGCTGCGCTCAAATTGGTTAGCGCTCATGTAGGACTTGCGCTCATATCGGACTTGCGCGCATATCCGACTTGCGCTCAAATCGGACCTGCGCTCAAATTGACCCGCGCTCAAATGTATATCCACCTGTTTGCTGTCTGAGGTCGTTGTATGTGTAGGTACATCAAGAGCACAGACAAGTACAGTTTAAGGAACGACATAATTCCCAACTGATCATATAGTTCATCTATCGGCTCGTTTCCAGACTTCCCAGCGATGATTCGGAAATTGTACCGGACAAGGATCCACCAATACTTGCGAAGTATGAAACCGGAAATCGCAATGCCAGGACCGTTTTCTTCAACATCGTACATCCGAACATTATCCTCGAACTGTTCTACGGCGAATCCGCAACCGTGAGTGCCGTCATCATGTGGAAGGATATCAAGAAGCATTTCAACCGCAACGATGGAATCTTCAAGGAACAGGCTCGTGATGTATGGCTCAACTACGAGTACAACGAGGCTCAAAGTGTCACCGAGAACATCATGAGGTACCAGAGGTCAACCTGCGGACTCCTTGAGGTCGGCTTGGTATTGGACCCACAGATTTAAATGAATTAAAAGGCACGATGACGATTCGTTGCAAAAAGTGGAAACAGCGAGTGATCTTCAACAGTCTGCTCTTGCAGAGGACTCCTCCCCCTGACTTTCTCAGAACTTGAATGAAGGAATTACCTGGCCTAATTATCTCACGAAGCCCGAGAAGTCAGGCACGTCAGTAGTGCCCGGCCCGAACGCTACGTCGGGCATCTGAGCGAAAGTCCATTGTACATATCCGAGTCTCTGCTCTCCCACAGCCGACTTGTGCAGAGAAGACCTCTCTGATAATTCCGAAGCTTGATTTGGGAAATTATCTGTCCTGGGTATCTCCACAGGCCGGTGAACTGCCGGGTAAGAGGGAAGATGAAAGACGACGCACAGTGGTCAAAAATTGATCTTTAGGTGGACAAAATTATTTTTCCGATTTCCAATGTTTAAGGCAAAAAAGTGACTAAAAAGAGTGGGGAGAAGGTCTTGATAGGTATGGATCCATGTGGGGCAATGAGAACGGAAGCGTTTTGACCTAATACGAACCATGGATTTCTCTCTGGCTTTCGAAAAATGGCCAAAACCTTTAGGGCCGCATTTGGACACTGTACCCAAATGTACCCAGTCTGATTTTTTTCTTAAATTGCTCGTGAAAAACCTCAGCTCTCACGAGGTGATAACGTGATAACCGATTCTTGCGCTGAGGGCCTCATTTTCCGGAAAACCACGGAGAAGCCGTAAATGGGCGAGATATCGCTCGAATTGTGAACCCCAGATTCTGTATTGAGATTATCGTACCCGTGGATATTTGCGGACACGGTCAACTCGATGCCGG